GGATGAATCATTTATTCATTGCTTATTTAAGGAAAGACCAATAAATCATTAAATCGTTAGAATCCGTGCGGGTCAGAAAGGTATAGCCAAAAGCAAGACCCAGAGAAAGCCTCATTTTTATTCTGTAATTGATCAAAGCAAAGAAAAAGGCAACCCGGTGAGCCCTCATGTTTCTACGGTGAGCTCTAAGGTTTCGGAGTATCTGTAATGAGCCCTAATGATGGACGGTGTGGGCTAAGAGCCAGGTAATCTTGGCAGCCCACTTTTCTGACATTTCACTTAATGTTGGCAGGGTGAAATCTCCTCGGCCTCTCATTGCCTCTTTCTTTGTCTCGGTTTTCTCTTGCTAAGCCGGGGGTGATAAGCTTCGCCCAGGTGTCAGTCGAGTGAGGTCTTTCCCTCACCTTATCTCACATGCTGAGTTTCAGACATTGTTTTCCCACCGTAAGGCTGAAGACGCTACAGGTAAGAGCGCTAGTGCCAGACCAGGGGTTTGATATGATATGAAAGCTCTGAGAAAGGGAATACATCAAATCTGATCGAGTACACAACCACATGTTCAGGACTGGAGGGACCAAATGTCATAATTTAAAGATGAAGTGTGTTTTTAGATGTTTACGCAAAAGTCAACTTGAAGCGTAAGAGCCGATCTATGGCTGAGGACCCATGGAAAACCACAAAATATTCTCAATTAATTTTATTCAATCAAAATACGATTGAGATTCGGGAACCTCTTTGATTGGTTGATATCGCATTGGGTGTCGATGGGTCGTAATAAACCTGTATGCAGATGAAGTTGAACATACTTGTATATCCAACTTATTATAGAGAGCTGGCTGATAATAAGGCCCCGTTTACACGAGAACGATTCCGGGTGAAAACGTAAAAATATTTTAACGGATGTGCCTTTCCTTTACACGGCAACAGCGTTTTGGGGGCTTAAAAACGCAAAAAAGTGAAACCACCCTCCAGAGTGGAAATCTTAAAAACGCTCCACCGTCGCGTTCCCGTCTAAACGGTAAAAACGCAAATCAGCTCACGGTGGCTCTTGTCGCGTACGCGTTTACGTCACATGCATGCGCCAGCACAGGAAAATAACAACCAACATGTCAGATTATTTCCATACGTCCGACCTTCAAGTTGCCCTAGCAGCTCTGAAAAACATACAAGAGGCTTTTCAGCAGTTGTACAAAATATTCTAAGATACTGGTGTTGTTGTGTGGCAGTGCTTCACATTGCCACCTAGCAGCCTGGAGTGCATACTACATCGGATTTCACACACTTTTGCGTCACCATATGCACGCGGATTTCCCAACCATAACACTCGTCTAAACGCAGAATAAAAAGTGATAACGCAACGCCACTTTTGCGTTTTCTCTTCAGATCGTTTCCGTGTAAACATAGACATTTGTAGGTTGATTTCCTTAAAAAAAAAAAAGTGCCACTTATTTGAACAGTTTTATTATACATTACACACTTTACCTTTAAGAATAAACCATTTAAGGCCAGTACAATTGAGCATTAATCTGAATATCTAGTAATTACAGAACCATATCTGATGGCTAAGATCATCAACGAGTGCAGTTGAGTGTTGCAGTCTGCAATCAGCACTGCATGAGCTAATGTTTCGATTCAGAAAATCATTTCACTCCTTCTCTCAATGTCCTTGTTGAAAAGACCAGCTTAGACTAGAAAAAGCTTCTTTTTTAGTGCATGTTTGGTGCTGGTCTATGATGGACCAGTAGCCATGCTATTTACCCTGAGGGTGAAGAAATGGTCGGAAAAGTAGAAAGGTCAAGATGAGTTAATATTTAATATCTTGACTCATGAATATTAATTATCCAATGTGATGTCTAGATGTAAAGCAGAGACTGACAAACACGCACTAACCATAGCAGGAACTTGTAAATCTTTTGTTTTGTCTTAAAGTTGTTTTATGTGGTTGGCTAAAAAAAAAATTCTTTGCACTGTGGCAAAGCAAAACAAAATCCTCAAAATACAGTATGATGATTATTTCTCAGCTGGCAAGATGGGTCAAAGAGCATGGACTTTCTGGTGAAGCTAGTTGACAAGTGAAGCCTTACTGACAAATGAACTCATGCATTCAAAACACAATGGTCTTTTCAGCAGGGACGTGCCTTGTGTGCTGTTTTAAGCTGTGCATGCACTTGCATGCATGCATGCAAATGGGCGCCTGCATCTTTCTGCAAAAACTCAGTTGTTTGGTTCCTTAAGTGCAGCCACTACCAACCCCAATAAACAGCACTAAGATTCAGCCAAGAATTTAAGCAGCTAAATGGCCTCTCATTTCCCCCTAAAGAGTCTACAATGAAAGCCTTCAGTTTTCTGCATTAGCTGTCTGAAAATGGTTAAGGAGGGGAAAGAAATGAGGAAACACTCCTTCTTGGCAAGCTGCATGATTAGTCTGTTAGCTGGCACAAGCTAAGGTCTCCCTCCTTTCAAGGAGAGAGGAAAACGGGAAGAGAAAAAGAGAGTGAATTCAACTTCAGGAGAATTCTATCTGGGGGATATTCTTCTTAAAAACAGCCCTCCTTCCGTTCTTTTCCTGCTTTTTTTATGCAAACACACACACACACACACACACACACACACACACACACACACACACACACACACACACACACACACACACACACACACACACACACACACACACACACACACACACACACACACACACACACACACACACACACACACACACACACACACACACACACACACACACACACACACACACTTTCTCTCCAGCTTGGCTGGTGGACCCACTGGGAACCAGTGCAATCTAGCCTCATTCACGTGTACAGTTTTAGGAGTTAGGGGGATTTTAATTCCTTTTGCGTCAGCACAAGTCTCGTCTGCAATCCGCTGAGCTTTGTCATGGTGTGGCATTTGTGTCTGCATTTATATTAGGCCCTGTTTACACCTGACTTAATGACTTAATTGAAATACACATGGCGCAATACAATACCAAGCACAAATTGTGGCTGGTAAAAATAAAAATGCGGCTAGTAGGTAGTGAACAATTCAAAGTGAATTATCCCCTGTGTGTTCCCTGGTGTGTGTGTGTGTGTGTGGGGGGGGGGGGGTTTGTCAGGCTAGTCTCCAAGCCTGACAAATTAGTGTTTAGCTCTGACCAGCTGAAAGTGTCCAAAACCCCTCTAATACCATAAAAACCTGGGAGACATTAGACAGCTTAAACCAGGTAAGACCAGATTTCTACTTTGAGCTGGTTTAAATTTTTTAGTAGGGTGTTCATGATTGCTGTCACCGCAAGCACTTAGAAAAACTGCTTAAATCATAAGGTCTCTCAGTTTGTATAAACTGATTAGACCAGATTTTAGATGGATTTGGGACAATTTTCAGCTAGTCAGGGTTGGAAATCAGCTAGACTGACCAGCTTGTCCATTCTGGGATACCATCTAGATCAGTTTAAACTACTAAAAAATGTAAACCACCAGTTAAAACCAGCTTTGTTTTGCGGAAACGCACACTCGCGTTTGCGTTAGACCAACCTAACCTGGCTGGTTAAATTGGTTGGTTTTGATTATTTACAGGGGTTTTGGATACATTTCAGATGGTCAGGGTGGGAGATAACATTAGACTGACCAGTTAAACATCTGGTTGCCAGGCTGGGAGACCAGCTAAACCACCTTAAACCAGTTAAATCTAGCAAACTATTTAGGATGGTTTAAACTGCTTGTTTTTCAGAAGGGTTTGCAAGATTAGTCATTGCTGGCCCAAGAACTAAAGTACTTTGGTACTCTTCCCCATCCCTAATATGAGTGTGTATAAAGGAAAGCATCAAAGATCACACATACAGTCGAGTACTTCTCTGCCAAAGGCACATTTCAATAACAACTCAATTCCCAGTAAAACAACTCAAATATACTGCTGAAAAGACCTGCTAGACCAGTACTAACCAGCCTTTCAAGCAGAGACAAAATGGCTTTGCAAAACATCACGCAAAAGAAACAGATATTTAACAATGCAGTGACTTAGCCTTTGTGACAAGCCACTGTTGTGCGTCAACGGTGAATGTATCAAGTGAAGGTACGTGAATGTTTCTGTGAGGACCAGGCGTCTTTATGACTGTGATAAAAGTCTCCTTATAATATCGTTGTGAAAAAACATTTGAACAACATCCCACACTTTCTCGCTACAGTGCGCCTACAAAGAGCCTTTGTTCTCCCACAAGACAATTGAAATTTCCAAAAGGATTCCCACGGATTCTAAATGCAGCTCTTGCGCTTGCCTTGGCATGAGAAAGTGCCAAAAGCATAGTGGCTCGCGGGCCTACACACGTCCATTTAGTGAAGCAGCCACTCCAAAGCTTATTGACTACGGCTAACGTTTTAAGCAATGGAACATCAAGACGGTGTTGTGGATTAATGCTTACACAGAATGTGTGCGAGTGTGCTTTTCGGCACAACAAAGCTGTAGGAAAAGAAAGAAAACCATGCACAGGAACAGAGAGGAAAAGAAAAATAGATTTTTTTTTTCCATTAAGAGAGGTTAAATAAAGATACAACATTACGGTGTTGTTAGGTATGGTGAAGAGGGAAAAGAAAACATGTGAAAAGAAGAAATAAAAAGCAACCCGGCAAACTGGCTCACACCAAGTGACTTCACATAGTACAAAGGCTTCTGGAGAAAATCCCGCAAAATTAGGTTAGACAGGCCAACTAGAAATCCAACCACCAAGTAGGAGTATGGCTTTTGAAGCCCACCCACATTAAAGAAGTGTACATGATTGCCAAAATGTATCTGTATTTAGCAAGGAGAAACCCTTTTCCCACATTTTGTGTCCTCCTACGTGCGAGGGAGGTGGCGTGCAACACCGTGTCCTAACCAGGCACCAAATGCTTTAGCTCACTGCGCCTGGTTAGGACACTGTGCTTGAGCTGAAAAGTGTATTGAATTTTTACAACAGCACAGACTTGTGAGTGCATGTGTCATTCCTGCATTGCGCCACTCACCGATGACTGTGGCGGAGAGCTCTTTCTTGGCAGAACCCAGACTGTTCTTCACCTCGCACACGAAAGTGGTGTTCACCGTTTCATCCACCTTTCTCACCCGCAGCCGGTTCTGATCAACCCATACCGAAGGCGGCAACTGACCCGAGGCACTGAGGAATCGACACAGAAAACTGCATTTCTAGCTAGTTTTTGATAGCATGTTGGCTTATTTCAAAAACGTAAAACTAATTTACTGAAAATACATCGTATATCTCTAAATATCATGTTAAACACGTTTGAGACATTAACTTGTGTGACACATAGAAGACAATGATTGCATTGTGTTATTTTTTTAAATTTGTCTTTGTGTGCTGAAACAGGGTTTTTTAAGACACTTTAATGCACACTATTATATAATTAGGCCTACTCCATTCGAAAATGTGCCAAATAAATCCGTAAGTGTTGCATATTTGTCAACTAACTTAAAACTCTGCAATCAAACGGCTACATCTAAGTATCACCCAAAAAGTCTTGCAAATAAATGTCGTTTCTCGATCTGTATCGATTCATGTTCTCCTTGGTTTTTGGTGAGAAAATGAAGTTGAAGCAGTGAAGCATTAATAGGCTGTTGTTGTTTTTATACCGCAGGCAAAGATGCTTCCTCAATTCAGAGCCAATTAGCCTGTGGCTGTTGTTTGCAGCAAAACTGCCATATTTGACTTTGTTTCAGTCATATTGGAGATGACAACAACACAGCAATATAAATATGAAATATGAAATATGGATTCTCTTCAGACTAAACAAATACTAATCCTAACAAAAACAAAAGTTATTGTTTCTTTCTCTTTTGAGTAAATTCTGTCATAATTTACTCTCGTGCTGTTGTTTTTTTCTTCTGTGGAAGGAGATATTTAGCAGAATGTCCAAGCAGTTATTTTGTAACTACACTTCAAAAGTTTGAAGTGGGTAAAAAAAAAAAAAAAGGATTTAAAAGGTTTAAAAATATATATATTAATACTTTTTTTAGCAAGAATGCATTAAATTGATCAAAAGTGACAATAAAGACATTTATAATGTTACAAAAGATTTCTATTTCAAAGTAATGATGCTGAAAATTCAGAAAATTAATCACACAAATAAATTACAATTTAATATATCAAAAGAGACAACAGTTACTTAAAATTATAATACTATAATATTGTATTTTTGATCAACTAAATGCAGCCTTGGTAAGCATAAGTCAAATTTAAATGTGCTCACTTAAAGGAGAACTCCAGCGCAAAATGAACCTTTGGTCTAATAAAACATTGGTACCTAGTCAACCGTTCTCTGAGATTTGTTTTCATGATAATCGAATGTGTACAGACCGTTTAATAAGAAGATATTTTATAAAGACAGTCCACTTCGTGTATACAGACAGGAGCCATCTTTGGAAAACAGTCTCGACTAGTCAAACCACGAATGACGTGCTAAGTGAGCTGAACTGTATGAATGGCGTTCGTGGTTTGATTAGTCGAGACTGTTTTCCAAAGATGGCTCCTGTCTGTATACACGAAGTGGACTGTCTTTATCTTTATCTTCTTATTAAACGGTCTGTACACTTACAAAGTTCTCAATGCTTCGTTTTGCATGTAGGGACCCTCATTATGTTACTGTGTTAGTGTGGGGCTATTTTGAGCCTTGTTAGTGGTATAAACTAGCGATTTCTTTTGACTTATTATATGCCCCCATTACTAGCGTTATACGCTAAACAGTTTTTAGAGATAAAACTCTTTACATTCGATTATCATGAAAACAAATCTCAGAGAACGGTTGACTAGGTACCAATGTTTTATTAGACCAAAGGTTCATTTTGCGCCGGAGTTCTCCTTTAAGCACATCTCCTTTTGTGTTCGACCAAAGAAAATCGTATGCGCTTGGAATGACATGCATAAACGATGACAGAATTTTAAACGATTACTTAAAGTTATAAATGTACTCACGCTGTCCAGGTAACATTAGTGGGTTCTGGGTTGGCGTCAGCCTCGCAGATCAAAACGGCATCAGTTCGACCCATATACCAGTTATTGTCATATCCTTCTATTGTCACAGTGGGTGGGTCTAGAAAGAATGTGAGAGAGACATTCATCTGAAAATCCTGCATTGAAAAAGCAGTTCAAAGGCTGGTTATCTGCCGTTCAGGGTTGGGAAGGGAAGATACAGGCTTGCTGAAGTTGGCACTGCCCTATAGACTCTTAAAGGGCTTTGACATGCTGGAGAAATGCAGAATGAAAGTGCAAGAGGTGAGGATGTTCCAACAGGGGCATTTATATAAAGAAATGGGGAACTTGCAAATCTGTGACATCCTCAAACATTCCCGCTCAGCTATGCAAACACTCTGTAAATAGCTTTCATGAAAAAAAAAAAAAAATGCGAACAATGTGTTGTGGCAGAGGCGAAGATGCTAAAATGCATTTTTTGATGAAAATGAGGCTGGGTGAGGGAGAAGAGGTGTTATGAGCGAATGATACGGGACGGATTATGAGTTCATGTGTGTGTCACTGAGAACGCACTTCTTTAAAGGATTAGTTCGGCCAGAAATGAAAATTCTGTCCTCGTTTACTAACTTTCGTGTCGTTCCAAAACCATTTGACGTTCTTTCTTCCGTGAGACACAAAAAGAGAAGTTTTGAATAATCTGTTGTTTGGCTTTTCTTTTCAGTTACAATGAATGGGAACCGAAGCTTTCAAGCTTTAAAAGGGACACAAAAAGCACTATAACTTTTGTGAAAGGCTTCTGAAGTCATACGATAGCTATGTGTGAGGAACAGACCACAATTTAAGTCTTGTATTTATTGATAATCTTCCCCCCTCCGGTTAGCTATTAACTGCTGTGACAGGAGTCAATGAACTCAAGAACCGAATCAGTCTGATTCACAAATGAATCATTCAGACCAGGGCTGCATTCGCCTCGCAAGCCTAAGGAGATTGTAGAAAATGTTGTTACAATATATTGTATGGGTAAGCCTTGATTTGTAAACTGGATCAGATTTTTTTTTTTTTAGAAAAGATCAGATTCATAAACTGAATGGTTCATTGTTACATATCTTATGAAATTCTCTCATTTTATAGCGAACTTAACAGCCCCATTCATTTTGACTGGCCAGGAAATTCTTCATAAAGTCACTCTTTGTGTTCCACCGAAGAAAAAGTCTTATGGATACAGTGAGCAAAATAATGAGAGAATTTTTATTTCGGGTGAACTGCTTCTTGCAGTGTGTATGTATGAATCTTACACTCCACCACCAGCTTCAAGTGGAAGGGTTTCGGTTCGGTCTGCGTCCTCTGATTCACCAAGCAGGTGATCTCCTTTCCGTTTTCAGCAGGTGTCGGGATCATCCGATACTCGCTCTTCACGGTCACTGTGCCGTCCATCTCGGGCACTGAAGTGTGGTTATAGCGGCCAGCAATAGCTGTAATCCAGGAGATTGTTGCCTCTGGTTTCCCTTGGGCTGCCTCACATCTTGCCACGACAACCTCAGAAGAGCCGGCTTGCACTGGGATGGCGGAAGCTGAGTTTTTGGGTTTAGCTGATGGAGAGAAAAAAAGATTTAAAAAATAGGTTACAACATGAATTTGGTTTTCAATAGCCTTTTTTATTAATCAAGTGGCGCTTGAGCTAAACAAAAAAAAGCATGCAGCAAAGCAACACAGTACTCAGACATGTCATTGACTCTTATTAATGGGATAATGTACAGGCAGCCGGTCATTTTCAAAAAATAAATGTCAACAGGGTGTTTCAAACATTCAGACCTTATTACACAGCTACTTACCAAATAAAAAACCTGAAATATTGATTGATTACATGAGAAGAAAGAGCGCAGAGTGATACAAGAGACATGAAATTAGCACAGTTATGTAGGAAACTGGATGCCAGGGACAATCTAGGACGGTCAATTATAGAGGTCATTATACAAACATATTTTAATCACAGAACTGAGTGGAATCACGCATATCAGAGAACTGTGTAATAATGCGTTTTTCAGTGCCTGATTCTGACATCAATGTTCCTGATGGCCAAGGAGGAGCTCAAATGTTAAAGACAAATGGTGGCAACCAAACGTAAAACTGTTTGTTTGATTATTATTATCATTGTTTGTTTGATAATTTAATGAAAGAAAAATTAAATAGAATTAATTGAAATGATAATCTAAATTGCTAAAATTAAATAATTCTGTGGCAATTTGCATGTTTTTAAAATGTTTTAATTAAAAAACATATGTATTGCAAATATTGATTTTTATTATAAATTGTAACATGTGTATATAATATTAGCAACAAGACAATTTTGAGATTATTTAACATTTAATAAAAGTATTTACTGCAATACTGCAGCATTTTTTACACAGTTTTTTCGTAATTGTAGGGCTGAGCAAATATGGGCAGAACTCTTTAATGCCCTAGGACTCCAAAAAGCCTTTTAAAGGTATACATGTGAATTAAACGTGGCACTATGGCCTTCATCATCACAGTATGCTAATGCCTATCTAGTGCAAGGGATTTCATCAGTATGCGGATTGAGGATTGTTGGGACACTCCAGGCACGGGATGGTTCTGTCGGGAGAGACAGTCATTTGCACCTCAATGACACGTCTGTACCATTTGCTTCACAGGACATGTGCTTTCAACTACATACTGTTTATTTACTAGTGTTCTAATATGTAACTATGCCATGTTTGGTCTCATCTGACAGCTTATAAACTGAAATGAATGGTGGTGAACTTAATAGAGATATTAAAGTATCCTAATGTACAATCCAGGTACTATTGGTTAAACATGCATCGAGGAGAGTATGCTAATGTTCTTCTCCCCCTCTTGATCTGCCTCATCTTTTGGTTTCCTGTCGGTCGGTTTCTGTGTTGGTATTCCACTCATGTTTAACAATGCTTTGCTCAGGGTATGAGGAGGAAAGGTTAGTGTTGATCTGGGAGAAAGGCTTTAACCCCGCCACTCCCACACTCCATAGTGGGTAACCTCAAACTAGAAGAAAGCTAGGAGTATTTGTTACAACTAAGTTTTCTATACAGTATGTTGTTCCATTCTACTGTCTGTATATTTAAACATGTATCTTAATAAATAACTTTGTCTGCTTTAAAGGCTTTGAGAATCTTTCCTTTTATCACTGATTATGTTGAAAGCAAAAGTGATTATAACTTTCGTTATCTAAACGTTCAGGTTAAATCCTACGTTTTCCTATCAATTCTAAGAATAACAACAACTGTAATGGAGTCAGATTAATTACATTGCAGTCAGATATATGAATTATTCACGTTATCCTTCAACTGCCTTTTCGTTCCGATTATTGGCGTAAGTTTCCAGCCTTACACTTAATCCACTAAAATGAATATAAAATTTAATGAAACCAACTGGGACACAAAATAGCTGAAGCTAAATAAAATAATCACTCTGTGAAATTATACATGATTTTAAAATGTTTAAATACTGATCTTTATTATTTTTATCATTGCGCATATAAGATCATCTTACACACACACTGTGTGTGTACATATATATACTGTACACACACAGGATGTGTGTAAGATGACGTAAGATGATTATTTCAAATTAGCCAAGCACATTTAAAAGCAAGTGGTTAACAACAACAATACAAGATGAACGCCGAGTTAATGTTCTACTTGGTTTACCCAGGGGTAAACAGTGAAAGACAAACAGAGCGAAACGCTTGAACACAGCCAGCCAACATGGATAAACGGGCAGCCCTGATTCATACCATCACTCTGTCTCTGATGATAGCATTAGCTTAGTCATTCAAATGATGAATCAGGCTAATGGGTGACATTAGTGTTAAAGCAGACAGCAGAAATGCTATTGTGAGCAAAGCTAATGTAGTTTAGCACGACTCCTAACTACGCCCAGAGTAGCTAAAGATTCAGCAGTCGAAGCATCAACCTTGAGGTATGTTGTTTAGGCAGATATGTAATGAACATTTTAAACATATTTGATAGAATTTTGTTGGCAATTTAAATTAGAAAACAGTGCTTTTATTTGAATGCACTAATTATCTGGCCATTACATTTCCTAAAGACTATGTCAGCAGGCTAATTTCACACTCCCTGCTCATGTCAAGACTCAGGAGAATGAGAGCAGGGCTTCTTTAAAAGCATCTCTGATTTTAACCAAAAGGCCCAAAAAAGCGACTGGAAAGTTTGATTCATTTTCATGAATCAGTTCTTTTGAACCATATCAAATCATTGGTTGAAAACACTAATTCAATTATACTACCGGTATGTTTGCGTCAGCATTTGGCATGGAACTTTATTCTTTTTTTAAATGGTTAAATTGTCATACTTGAATCTGTCTTGTTTGCAGGAAGCATTGAAGCAGGCCTATAAATAAACACAAGTGAGTTACTTACCCAGCATGATAAGAGTGGTCGTTCCCTGCTCGTTTCCAGTGGGGTAAGTCGCGTACTCGCAGATGTACCTGCCAGCATCAGCCATCCTCAGTTTGTCGATCCTAATGGATGGGTTCTCCAGGGAGCCTTGTGTGAACTTAACTCGGCCTTCAAAATCTTTATTGGGGAAACTGGCTCCATATATGGGGTGGAATACAGCAATGTTGTGCCTGTCACCCTCAACACGCTCAAACATCCACGAAACCTACGAACCAGAAAGAAATAGGGAATTAATCCTTGCATGGCATTGCTTTAACATACAGCATGCTGCCAGCCATCTGCTTGTTGTTTAAACTCAGGATTAACCATATGGATGGCGATAACATTGGACAATTACTGGGCCTGTGCTGAACTATCACTATATCTTGCATTTCTTCAACACGTACAGATGTTTCACTGATTGCCAATAATTAATATTCATGTATGCACTGAATAACCTTGTTGTGAATTCTGCATATTTAAATATGCACTAATGTATTATTATCAAGCAGGCAGACAGATTTTATCAAAAACTGTGATGATGACTTCTGATAACCTTGAAAGCATAAGTTTAGAATGGTGCTATCATTTTTTCTGTATAAAATGTATAATCTTATCTAATTCTGGCAAATTAAAAAGCCTAATAAATTGTTTGTGCAATTTTCTCAAGAAAACCTGCATGAAAATATAATTACATATACATATATACACACACACACACACATATATACATTATATATATATATATGAGAGAGAGAGAGAGAGAGAGAGAGAGAGAGAGAGAGAGAGAGAGAGAGAGAGAGAGAGAGAGAGAGAGAGAGAGAGAGAGAGAGAGAGAGAGAGTTATTATCAGCTATCAGTAATCAGCTGGTTATCAAACTTAAAGAAATTCTCTTATGCTCACCAATGCTGTCTTTATTTGATCAAAAATACAGTAAAGCAATAATGTTAATGATTTAAAACTCCAAAAGTTTTGAAATCATTAACTTATTTTTCTATTTTATTATAATTTATTCCTGTGATCAAAGCTTAATTTTCAGGCATCATTACTCCAGTCTTCAGTGTCACATGATCCTTCAGAAATCATTCTAATATGCTGATTTGCTGCTCAAGAAACATTTCTTATTATTATCAGTGTTGGAAACAGTTGTGCTGCTTAATATTTTGTATCTTGTGGGTACATTTTTCAGTCCCCATGAGAAAAACAGTATACAAATTATACAAAATGATTTTTTTTAAATGCAAAAATGAAGAAAGTTTTCAGTGAGGGTTGCGTTTAGGTGTAGAAATGTATGGTTAGGGGATCGAATATACAGTTTGTCCAGAATAAAAATCATTGTGTCTATGCATAGTCCCCATAAAACATGGAAACCCAACATAGTGTGTGTGTGTGTACTGTATATATTTGTGTAAAATAGGATTATTCAGGATAATAGTAAAAAAAACACAGTCATTTCAATGGCAAAAAGTATCCCAATTCACCCTGTATATATGGCGACATTGGCGAGAGCCTCAAATATCTAATTTTTGACACTAATCAAACTTATCTTGTCTCACCTGTGTGAGTTTGGTGCTTCCACTGTCGGTGAACTCACAGCGCAGATTGACAGACCCATTTGGATTCGAAGTGACCTCATATTCTACTCGAACACGCTGACTCCAGACAGCTGCAAAAGAGGAAAGAGCGAAACATTAGAACTTTCCAGCATCGTAGCCTATATTAAAATGATGAAAATGAAACCCAGACATCAGACTAATATGAAACACACCACCAAAGTGACTGTAATATTCCTGGGCCTGAGCTTCCTCCGGGAAAAAATGCAGTCTTAGACTGATTAGAGCTCAGTGGCTTCACATCCATCTACTGCATGTGCAGACTGTCTCAGCATGAGACTTATCCTGCTTTGATTGCCCATAATTAAAGAAAAAAAAAAACTTGAGCTATCTCATCATCACAGCATTAATCTACACGATCACGAATATGGATCAGAGCTCGGTTGAACAAATGCATCTGAATGAGAACAATTCTAAAAGTCAAGTGAAACGTTTTACTTCTATAATGCAATGCATTCCCAAGTGAAAAATAAACGTTCAATAAAGAAAAAGTAGGGTTGCGCTTGATTTTATACATAAATAACATGATTGGATTCCATGGATGTTAACAGTTCTTCATGGAATCATTGAAGTCAAGAAAGAACCTTTATTTTTAAGAGGAAATTAACTCTTTCCCCAAGAATTATTTAAGTTGTCAGTCAGAACATGCAATATAATCAAAAGAAAAAACAGAGCCTCTGCTTTAAAAAAACATTTTAGCTTGCATTCTTTTTTTATCAACACTTGAATGTGGGTATGTTTCATAAAAAAGCATTGTTGTCAAAGACTACGCCTGGATCAGATTTAGATTGATTATCAAAACACAGATGAAGTAGGTCACTTCCATAAGCACCCCCAAAAATTCACAGTCCCATACCTCGTCCGTGTCGACATTTCATACGGTAATTTTGATTTATATGCCGTTTAATGTTTGATGATCGCGTTAGCTGTTTCTGCACTCTTTTAGAAGATGCGTAATAGCGCCCATTGTATCATAAATGACGTAAAATTTCGTAAATGATGGAAAAGCATTTGTCATAAATGACAGAAAATTCCGTCAATGGCAAGGAAAGAGTTAATAAACTAAAGGTCGTTTGATCCAGGTTCACTTTAAAAAGTTTACTTTTTATATACCACCCATAGAAATCTTTCTCATTTTTGGGGGGGAAAACAATTTAGATCTTAATTATATGTACAAATGCTTCATATTAATATGAACAGAATTTAATTGTTTTTTGCTTGTGCGCAATATAATTAGTCTTAACTTACTCAGCATCACCGACTAACACATCTCTCGGCAAATAACAGATGGATTCTGCAAAACTGAAAATGACATTACACACTTGACTTGTAAGTAATTAAGTGCGCAAATAATTAAAAATCATCATTAAAATGACGTTTCTGCTGCTTTTAAAACAATTCTGCCCTTCAACATAACAGCCAACTGAGCCAAGTGATCAAAACTTTATAGTGGGAGGCTAAAGCCTATAAAAGAAAATGATTGCACATTTATTAGCGCAATAAAAACAAACCTGTGATTCTATAACCCGATACGAGTTGTTCTGCAGTCTGCATCACACTGATGGTAAACTGACACTGCATTGCAGTCTCAGCCATAGCACTTTTAAAGTGCTTTCCTTCTGCATTTGAACATTTTGACCCGGTAGCCATGATCCCAGACAGTGATCTTTGTGTCGGCACAGCATTCACTTATGGAAGATTGCAAAGTTCAACTTTTTCAAAACTCGCTCGCTTTCTCTTTGCTTTCACGTTTTCTCACCCGGCCGTATACAAAGGCAGGTTAAAATAAACAACCCGTGTTTTGACTCGGGTAGTCCGTCGACTCCAGCGAGCTCCTGTGGAGACAGAAGCGAGAGACCTCCAGCTCAGAGCTCTAGGAGTCAAAGGCCAGCGAACAGCATGAGAGCTGCTCCATATATACTGATGGAATAAGGAACGGCTCAGTGCTCACAAACACACACACATTCACAAGCAGCTGCATTTGACAATCTACAGAAACATCAGCACACTCTAAAGACAGACCTCAAATTGCATGTACCCCAGAGAGGATTAAATAAATCTATCAAATACAGGGTTGCGGCCACATAAAATGATACATAAACAGAGCTGGATTCTGTTATAGAAACGCAAAGCATTCTCCTCTTAAGCTATAACCCCTTCGCCACATTGAAAGGATCCAACTCGGTTTATGTTCCACAAAGGCATTAAATTGATATGACCTCAGGTTCGCAAACCTCCCTTAAATCAGATCTGTTACCTAACACCGACTGAAAGGTATACGACACACTTACAGAAGATGCCAAATACTTGTACTGTAATGTGTCTGTATTAAAAACCCTTAGGCTCAATGACTTAAGCTTGAGTTCATCCATGATTGTGTCAAAACACAATTTATATTGCAAATACGCCACAAGGGGTGCTAAAGCATCCATTAGCAAAAACTGCTTTCGTCTATGGTCAGTTTTTCCTTCAAGTCAAGGACTGCCATTGTGCAACAGTTTGAAGAAAATCTTGCTGAACAGCTTTAAGTTAGTTACATTGCCATGTTTACCTGGCTGATTTACCTGAATAGCATCGAATAGATGTGGTTTAATGGCACAGACACTTTAAGGAAATTCCATATACGCACCATTAAGCATTCTAATGATGTTTATATCTGTCACAATAATGCAAGGACGCATATTAGACCAGGTACAAACTTTACACAAAGACAACCATGCAGAAAAACAGCCATAAAGCAGTGTTTGTTAAGGCCACTATAGCACCCCTTGTGGAGAGACTGAGAATGCAATGAAGTGCCACATTTGAAGAAAGCACAATGCACAAAATCGAGCTTGCACGACTAAAAGTAGGCTAGTTGCACGCATGCACTTGTGTAGATTATGTTTCGGGCCATGGTACATACAACGACAATGCACTGCACATTTATATTGCTACAAATCATTTCTATTTCAAATAAATGTAAACTTTGTTCGTCAAAGAAAATTTTTAAATATTAAGAGATGCATGTTTCTTGAGCAGAAAATCAGCATATTTCTGGAGGATCATGTGACACTGAAGACTGGAGTAATGGAAAAGAAAAGAAAAGAAAAAAGCTTCTATACTGGCATCTATGGGTCAATGAAGAACCTTTAACATCAATGGAACGTTTCAATTGAAAAAACAGTTCTTTAGTGGAAAAAGGTTCTTTAGATCATTAAAATGGTTCTTTTAAGAGCTGATGACTGAACGATTCTTTGGGGAGCCAAAAATGCTTCTTCAGTGGAATTGTTGCAAAAAAACAACAACTTTTGGAAACTTTATTTTAAGGATGTGTATATTTTTTAATTGTAATAATATTTCACAATATTACTATTTTTACTGTATTTTTGAGCATAAGAAACTTTCTTTCAAAAACTTTTAAAAGACCCCAAACTTCTGAACAGCTTTGGTAGTGTATGTAAATGTTTACGCATAGTTGTTCAACACAATTTATGTCTCTTGACAGTTTCTATATACAGACATTATAAAGATTTATATGGACTTTATATAGAAAGACAATATTAAATAATATCTTGTCATAGAAGCCAATTTCCCTTTAGCTTTTTTTATGTACTACTAATTTTATATAGATTCATTTTCATCTAAACTTTTCATTCTCATTACAAGAACTGCTGCTGTATCGCTATTTGTATTTGACAAATAATCTTTGACTAATGCATTTGTTCTGGGTATTTACATTTAGGTTCCAATTAACATGCCATTCATGCGAGGATAGAGGTATGCGAAGGTATGCACATATCCCAGTCAGTGTGCTTAGTGCACGTCCGTATCCAGGGCTCTCATGTCAAGAAGTGTGTGTTTTCACTAGGCGAGGAGCTGCGTGTGACTCAATGTAGCAGAATTCCCCCTGAAGGTACACAATGGCCTGTCAGACCAGCTCTGTGGTATAAGAAACAGAAACACAAAGCATTTATTCACTCACCTCGCTCCCTTTACCTCTCTCTCTCGCTCAGCTCCGCTCCTCTTTTGTTTCCTTCTATCTTTGGCTCATAACTCTATTTCCCTCTCTCCCTCTTCCTCCATACACATCAACAAATGAGTCATCGGGTGGAATGTAGTTGTACGATGTTTTAGTCATTCGTTTTTCATAGGGTCAATGAAAGAACGCCATGGGTTCAAAAAGAAGGAAAAAATGAGAACAATAAAGAAAAGAACCAACATGGATCAAATATCTGTCTCATTTGCATGCATACCCAGCATGCTTCACCCCCTTCCTTTGTGTTCAAGTGTTTCTGTTCATATTCCTGTACTGATCTACTATTTGCACTGGTTTTAATACCTCTGAAACAGTCGGGGTGTCTGCGCACTGCTGATACGCTTTACTTAAGGATGACAAACGAACCAAAGGACCGCAACAGGCTCTTCAATAAAACACAAACACATTTAAGGGGCAGAAGCAATTTACCAAAAGCACATAAGCTTGCTTTATGAACTCAATGCAAAGCTCATCGGTGCTTAAATAACGTGTGAAATTCACCTCAGAGTCATTAATATATTCATATATACGCACCGCAGGGATGACTCTGCCCTGGGGCGTTACCTATTTGCACACTAACTAGCATAAATGTTTAATTTTAGGTATATATTTAGGTGTAACTTTAAAGGATTACTTCCCCCAGTAATTAAAATTTCTGTCACTATTTACTCGCCCTAAAGCCATTCCGTACAACTTTCTTTCCTCCGTGGAGGATTTGATCAATCTTAGGGTGTATTCACACCAGGAAAGTCCGATAGTTCACTTGCTTTGGTCCGGACCAAATAATTTTTTATAAAAAAATTTTTTGGTACGGTTCGCTTTCACACTGCTCTTTTTGCAAGTGAACCAAAAATTTGTCAACAAAACCACACGTGTGCTAAGGTCGTCCATTCATTGGACAAGGATTCTCAAGTAGGGAAATCAGGAAGTGCAAAAAAGGCTCAGCATGGAGATATTTCGTACTCCAATGTTTGTTATTTTACTAATTTTGTGTTATTCTGTACAAATGCAATTGAAGAAACTGCGCAGAAGACG